TCTATCTATCCATCCATCCATCCATCCATCCATCCATCCATCCATCCATCCATCCATCCATCTATCTATCTATCTATCTATCTATCTATCTATCTATCTATCTATCTATCTATCTATCTATCTATCTATCTATTTTCTCTCTATATATCTATCGTATCTCTCTATATATATATCTAATCTATCTATCTATCTATCTATCTATCTATCTATCTATCTAATTTCTCTATATATATCATGTATCTTTATCTCTATATATGTCTAATGTATCTATCTATCTATCTATCTATCTATCTATCTATCTATCTATCTAATTTCTCTCTATATATATCATGTATCTTTATCTCTCTCTATATATGTCTAATGTATCTATCTATCTATCTATCTATCTATCTATCTATCTATCTATCTATCTATCTATCTATCATTTATCTACCTACCTACCTACCTACCTATCATCCATCTCTCTCTCTCTCTCTCTCTCTCTCTCTCTCTCTCTCTCTCTCTCTATCTATCTATCTATCTATCTATCTATCTATCATCTGTCTGCCTATTTATCCTCTCTCTCTCTCTCTCCAGCTCCTTGCAATGTCCTGCAATCACGTGACTGCAATTTACGATTTGGGTTTTTCTGGTCCACAGCAGGGACCTCACGGACAACGTCCCCTATGAAGTCAGATGGGCTCAGGAAATCAACGGCTTATTCGGTCCGAAGGGCCGGCCTGAGGCTTACGACCTCATCTTTGACCTTCACAACACCACCGCTAACATGGGTGGGACCCTCATCCTGGAAAACTCCAGCGATTGCTTCGCCATTCAGATGTGCCATTATATACAGGTATTTATTTTTTTTAAATGTATTTGCACCATAAGTGAGATGGCTGACCTCTAAATCTGACATATAAATGTATGAATAAACAATTACAGGTACTCTTCGACTTACGACCACAACGGGACCCCCAGATTTTCATGGCTAAGCGAGACGGTCGTTAAGTGAGCTTTGCCTCGTTTTACGACCTTTCTTGCCACCGTCGTGAAGTGAATCGCTGCAGGTGTTCAGTTAGCAACCTGGCTGTTAAGTGAATCCGGCTTCTGGCTTTGCTTGTCGGAAGGTCGCCAAAGGGGATCACGTGACCACCCTCCCCCCAGGACACTGAAACTGTCAAAAGGACATGCCAGGGGCCAAAGCGTCCGAATTTTGATCCCGTGACCACGGCGATGCCGCAACGGTTGTAAGTGCGAAAAACGATCATAATTCGTTTTTTTCAGTGCTGTTGTAACTTCGAAGGGTCACTAAAGGGATGGTTGCAAATGAATTACCTGTATGCAACAACACTGGAAGTCTTTAAGAAGAGACCGGACAACCCATTTGTCTGGAATGGTACATGGTCTCCTGCCTGAGCAGCGGGCTGGACTAGATGACCTCCAAGGTCCCTTCCAGCTCTGTTATTCTATTCTATTCTATTCTATTCTATTCTATTCTATTCTAATAATAATAATAATAATAATAATAATAATAATAATAATAATAATAATAATAATAAAGTTGGAAGGGATCTTGGAGGTCAACTAGTCCAACCCCCTGCTCAGGAAGGAAACCCTATACCATTTCAAACAAATGGCTGTCCAGTCTCTTCTTAAAAACTTCCAGTGTTGGAGCATTCACCGCTTCTGGAGGCAAGGAGTTCCACTGGTTAATCGTTCTCACTGTCAGGAAGTTCCTCCTTAGTTCTAGGTTGCTTCTCTCCTTGATTAGTTTCCATCCGTTGCTTCTTTTCCTGCCTTCCGGTTCTTTGGAGAAAAACTTGACTCCCTCTTCTTTGGGGCAACCCCTGAGATACTGGAAGACTGCTATCCTGTCCCCCCTCGTCCTTCTCTTCATTAAACTAGACAGACCCAATTCCAGCAACCGTTCCTTGTATGTTTTAGCCTCCAGTCCCTTAATCATCTTTGTTGCTCTTCTCTGCACCCTTTCTAGAGTCTCAACATCTTATTCTATTCTATTCTATTCTATTCTATTCTATTCTATTCTATTAAGTGTAATCACGTAATAATTTTCTAAACTGCCCAGAATCTCTTCAATGGTGAGATGTCACAGCATATACATTTAATAAATAAATCCATTTCATAAATAAAATGTGCACCACACGGACAAGCCAAACAGGTGTGCTTGGATTATAATGAAGCACCTGACATTTTGAAGATTATGACCCCTCCCCACCCCCAACCCTGGGC